AAAAACCCAAAATCAAACACCAACATGTATAGGTACTTAGAATTTATTTTATTATAGTGATTGAGGCACTAGTAGGTTTCCAAATTGTTTTAAAATTGTAAATATATCAATAAAACATGGTGTTCAATTGATACCCATATATATAGCAGTGTTTCATTTTAATCACAGATTTTGGGGCTTTTAACCAGAGAATTTGTGATTTTTGTTTAATCAAAGTATTTGAGATTATTACACAGGGAATACCAGGATTCCTAGTTATCAGTTGCTTGTAATTTAGCAGGGCTGTAGGTTTTCATTTTCTCTTTTTGTACTGAAACCACCATGATTCTGCCTGCCTGCCTTTTGAAAAAAAATATGTATATGTTGCTCTCTTAAAGGTCTAGCAATGTTATACTTTGAAACAGTGACTTGGAAATTTGGCAGAGGAATAATTATATAACATTTTACCAGTACTCCTAGGCAGATTCAGGGTTTTGATCCAGGTTGGCTGCGCCCCCTGCTCCTTTCCCTGTGCTCCCCTTACCCCACCTCATGGGCAGGCACACCATGCTGTGATGGCAGAAGCTGGGGACTTTTTGAAATCAGGTAAGAATTTCCCCCTCCCTTCCTCTGTGTCTTAAGCTTTTGGCATAGGAAGAGAAGACTTGCATCACTGCTGATGTCCTGGCCACTGCTTCCCTGCTCTAGCCAGACCCTACAGGGAGAACTGTGAGAGGAATTGGGCTCCAACAGGGACAGCAGCAGCAGGAGGTGGGGGTGAAGCCACCAGCTGTCTCTGGCTACATTCAACTCTACAGCTGTGCCCCATAGCCCTGGATGGAGCAGTTCTGGGGCTCCCTCCACACCTGGGCCAGCTAGGGACAGCAATGGGTAGGGTTTCCCCTTTGTGCATCCAGAGTCATCAGTAGAGATGGGGAGGGGAGAGGGAGGAGAGAGAAGGTGCTGAGTAGGTGGGATTCTTGCCTGCTTCAGGGGCTGCTGCTCCCATGGGGTGGGTCAGACTCTTCAGGGAACCCAGGCATCTGCAGCTGCTGGAGACCAGAGCTATGGAGCTACACCATGGATGTGTGGGGGAGGAGACGCTCCATTTCCACTGGATTCTCCCTGGTTAGTATTGAAAATCTGCTTACAGTTGGCTGGGTTACACGCCCTTGAAAACTGCAGTTCATGTGCTCAGCAGTTTTCTTGCTGTTTGAGTTAAATTACCAGGCTGTTTTTTCTTCATGCTGAGAGGACTTTTCTTGCTGCTGCTGCTTTGAGCTTTGTCAAAACCAGGCGCCAGAATTGAGTGCTCCTTCCCTGCTGAGCTCGGCGTGCGCTACAGTAGACAAGGGGTAGATCTGTTGGAAGACAGCAGAGATTGGAACAAAGCTTTGGGGTGGCAGAGGAGGGTTGGGGCTGGAGTAGACTATGAGCCAGTGTGGGATGAGAGGGAGACTCTGACACTTGGTAAGAAGAGTTAGAGTTGTGTCGCTAAGACTGGGAACCAGTGAGGTTGGAGAGAGATTGGGGTGTGGAACAGGAAAGTAGTTAAGCAAAGTGGTGAGATATTGAATCTGAATGTGGAACTGAGGCAGACTGCAACTAGCAAATATGGAGGTTGATCAGACCAACTGTGAGGGTGAGGGGAAACTCACTGGTCTGGAAAGTGATGTGGGATGGGACAGGGGAAATAAGACTGACAAGGGTTCGAAGAATGGGACTGGGATGTAGATCTGGCAGCAAAGGTGACCAAAGTGACCTGGCAGAACAAGTAGAAGTGTTTCCTTTGCTGAGAACATAGACAATGCTATAGGTATAGCAGCTCCAAAAACAAAAAGGAAGCTGCTGCTTGGGACTGCTCAGAACCTGTTAGCTGTAACTTCCATCTGTATGAGCCTGTAGCAATACATGAAGTTACCTAAATCACCCTAGTTTTGACCCTGGATGGAGCAGTTCTACTACACTAAAAGAGCTACAGGCTCACAGAAAGTGTAACAGTTATGTTGTAATAGCTGCTGTTTGCTCCCAAGCAGCAGCTTTCATAACCCTTTCCCCCTGCTCCCTCTGACCTCTGTACCCCAAGCCGGGGATGGAATCCAAGATCCATCTTAGAGCCTCAGCATTCCTCTGCTCTTGGTTATCCGCAACAAACTGGTGAAAGGATGATCCTGCCCCATGCAGGGAAGATCTGAATGACTTCTGGAGGTCCCTTCTAGCCCTACTTCTCTTAAGTTTCATGTTTCCTATACTATGGGCCAAAGACTGCAAGCTGCTACAGCTGTTTGTTAATCCTGACTTCAAGTGCCAGAGGTTTGTGTGTCAGGTATCTAGGTTGTAGCCATATTGGTCTAGAGGAAAAGGCAATTGGGGCTTGTGGTAGAGGTGATATCTTTTATTAGACCAAGAATTTTGCCAAAAAATGTCTTTTAATTGCAAGCGTTGGGGCACGAACACCCTTCATCAGGCATCAGAGAAAAGATTGTAAAAGTTGTCCTGGGTAGAAATGAAAGATAATATTTCATAGGATTTCACAGAGGAATCAACAGATGGAAAACACCTCTGGGCAAGCAGTTCTTATCTGGTAAGGAGTCTCTCAGCTATCTTGTGAGGCTCTGCAATGATGCAAATTACCTTGAACAATGGCAGGTGCAGTATCTCCGGTTATGGGTGGTCAGAGTTGCTTCCTCCTTGGGAAATTATGAAGATTTCATTTTAAAAAATCAGCTAAAACTCCATATCTTTCATGTGTCAGGTATCCAGGTTGTAGCTGTATTGATCTAGAGGAAAAGCTAATGGGGGCTTGTGGTCTGTGTGATCAGTTTAAGTTCCAACACAGCTGATGTTCCCACCGGATTCCAAAAACCACGTAAGAATTGCTGTGCAGCTTTTATAAGCTAAGATCACAACAGGGGAAACGCCATATATCTGGGTCTGTGAGGCAGTTTTCCTTAAGCGTTCCCAGGGATAACTGTTCTTCTGGTGTGGTTTAGTACTTGCCGAGGTGTTGCGGCTGAAAGCCCGCTTTATGGAAACAGGAAGTTCCTCTCTAGCATGTTTCTGTGTCCATATGGCTGAGGGCAGGAGAAACTTAGGGGTATCTGAACCCCAAGCCTCCGGGCTTGGGCCTGCATGTAGGATGCCTGCCAAAAGACTTCGGAAATATCTGAAGCCCCTGGTGGGGGCAGAGGATGCTTGCTGGTTGTAGGGCCGCTTGTGGTTCCAGGCTGACTCACAGAATTGGACTTGATTTGGCTGATTTGGCTTGGAATATGAACAATTTATTTTAAAAACAAAATAGTCAATGGAAGTCTATGTCACCTTCTTGGACTTCCAGAAGGCCTTCCACACAGTATCCCACCCAATTCTGGTGGGCAAGCTGAGGGACTGCGGCATTGATGAATGTACAGTCACATGGGTGGCAAACTGGCTCCAGGGGC